GTGGTACCTGCGAACAGCAGCAACCAACGCTGCTGCAAATGGCTTTCGGGAGCTTTGACTCATCAAACTTCCTATCCACGCAAAATTCCTACCTGCGCCTTCACATTGATACGCTATTCAAGCATGAGAAACTTGGTTGAAGCGTGATCTAGAGGCACTTGGGACACCACAACGAAGCGGAACAAAGAATGTAAAGGGCCAACGTAATCATTGTTACCACCGAAAGCTGAAGTTGCTGGGAGTTTTCAGCGGACGCTACCGAAGACTGCGCGGCGAATTCATAAAATTGTGTTAAATATTGTTACCCCAATCAAGTATGCCGCCATTTGATGAAATGGTCACGACACGCAACCCAGAGGTAACACTTTGTAGTTGAGGGAAGAAAACAACCATCCATGTCGATGGAACTACATTTCCCTACGGATTTGCCAACCCTGGAACGCTCTTGCAGACTCGGTTGTATCCTCTCCTACTGTGGACATTTTCAAACAATGCTTGGACGTTGTTCTTAGCTGCCAGCACTTCGTTACCTAAACTACGCCATTGTGGATTATGTTAATCATGTCGTTATACCGGATTTTTGTGTCATATGAACCCAACGAGGCGGCGCATAATTGAGTGACCATGTTTTACTTTTCTCACGTGTTACGTCAACCATCACCTCACCCCGTGTATTTCTGTGTGCTTACACTCGAATTTTCTTCTACTCGAACTTTATCTGTCAAAACATTTATCTCGGTAGACGCTCGGCACATGAATCACATATCCCTTGCTGGAGATTAGCTAGAAGCTGTTCCGAAATTCAACCAGCTTGGTAGTTTTATCAGCTCCCTTGGGATCGAAGATGAGATCACGAACCGTATAGCAAAAGCTAGAGGTGCTTTTGCTAGTCTTCACCACCTATGGCGGCGGCGCGACATCACTCTCGCGCTGAAGGGTAGAGTGTACAATGCAGCGGTACGTTCGACCCTACTGTACGGTTGTGAAACCTGGCCCCTTAGCTCAGCGGACCTGACGAGGATAGTTAAGCTCGACAATTGGTGCCTTCGCAATTTATCTCAAATCTGGTGGAAACACTACTTGAGAAACGAGCGTTTTTGACGCCTTGTTTACGGCACAAGAAAGGGAAATGAACCGCTCAGCTGCGTTATTTCCCTCATCAGGCTCCGATTGCTCGGCAACTTGTTACGCATACCAGCCCACCGGCACCCGCGACGTGCATAGTTTGCGCGGCGTGGGTGTGGATGGAAGAAGAGCACAGGTGGCAAAGCGATGACTTGGTCAAGAAGAATGAAGGCCTCTGTTGGAGCGTCACCGCTCCCTGGTTGGGGTCCAGAGGATGACGAACACGTTTGGCTAGATACACTTGCTTACATGGCAAGGAGACGACCTCAGCGGCGTTGCTGCCGTGAGTTTCTTTGTCCCTCCCTCTCCCGATTAGCCTCCTAACAGGCCCAGTGGGATGGCTTGTACGAATTTTGTGCGTTCAAAAAAGAATGTACACCAAGTGAAACGCATATCTGTGGACTTGTTATATTATCTAGATTAACACGCATGTGCAATACAGGTGTCAAAATCATGCTGGTGCCACCAACGTTCACCCCGGGTTGATGGTTCATTAACCCATGGGTATTCTATCGACAGGCAATCTGGTGCCATTTGGATGCAGCCTACCATCGGCTGCGTGTAACCTGAAGCCACCGCAACAGTCAAAGTCCGTGTGCCTGTACGTTTCCTGAAACGCAGGTTTGGGTTAATAAAAGGCTGCCCACGATTTCGTATAGATTGCTTTGCGAAATCAATTCATATTATAGGTCGAATCACAGAACTGGACGAAAACGAGTTGCAGTATGATGCCGGACGCGCTCTAATAAAGCCACAACTATTACAGGACTGTCGAAAAATCAGTTGTTTATAATTAGCTACTATTTTCTTTTCCATTTTCTGTTGGAATATGAAGATATTCTTTGATAAATCATAAACCAAAGAAATTTAATGCGGAACATCCAGAACTGTCAACTAACAATAGGAGCACATTAATGCATTTACATGAATATGTAAAAGACCAGAACTCACAGAGCTTCGTCAGCTGCTTCCATCCCTCGATACGGTGAATGCATGATACTGCCCTAAGGCGATTACCTGGTATGACAGCGATGTAACGTGTATAATTACTCCATATATACCAAGTCCGTACGTTGAAACCATCCCTCCTGGATCTTGCCTTGGTTGACAATATGTGCAAAACAAGTTGTACCCACTGCTATGTTCTTATGCGACAGCAGTTTTTAACATTGTCTAGAGTTAAACGATGCAAATATATTATTTAGGTTGAGCCCAGTTGTACAGAAATATCAAGTCAATAAACACAGGAAGAAGAAAAAGCTTTGAAGATAATGTTTCACCCATCCTAAACAAGACGAAGCCATTTGCAATGGATCTCGTTCGTTCTTAGTGCAACATTTTATGACAAAGTTCCATGTTGTCTAAAGTCACTAGGCAGAGATAGTCAAAACGCTGTCCCAATCATAATGAGCTTCACTGGTGGCAAAAAGATTCCACTACGAATACGGTGCTAAAGATCTTTCGTCCCTAGGATGTTGGTTTCGTCTGTGGTGAATGCGGTTGGTTTTAGAGAAATTCGAAGTACTCTCCTGCATTTGTCACATTTTATCTGAAGCACTCAGAATTCGTAATGAAAAATTCACTAACTGCGGCTCTATTCGTGTCCTAGATGTGCGGTTTTCTAGAAAGTTTAACATTTTGGTAAATGTAATTTTCTGAAAGCAAAGGCTAAACGATCCATCGTCTTCATCTGCAGATCGTTCTGAATCCATGAACTTAGACTTAAGCTATGTACATGGTATGTGTGCTACCTTTAGTGGCATATTGCCCATTTGTATGCACTAATATGCAGAAATGTGATACAATAGCTCTTAAGTATGTACAGGGGCGCTTCACGAATCATGTAATACGGTATTCCACTACTATGACTTACCATAACGGATGTGAAGAATTTGACCTTGATCACTTATATTCGGGAAGGCTGATAAGCAACGTCTGTTATCTATATCGTCATCAACCATTCTGTGCAGGTTGACAATGATAGCATACAACCATAGATATCAGTGAGCAATACAAATTCATCGACATTACGTTAAAACCTCTTGTGCCGAAGTGCCGCACCAGGACAATGGAAAACATCTTGCTGATAGTGTATTCCAGAATATGAAAAGAGCTTCCAGAAAACTTAAGCATACTAAACCGCTTAAGATATTTCGGATACAAAATGGAGGTATCTTACAGGGAGTACTATAAAAGACGGCAGGGTGCAATGAGGAGAATAACAGAGTATTGAAGTCGTATGGATTACTTAAATCCTACCCCGCGGCCTCATTGTCTACGTGTGATCTGAAGAGGGGAAATAAACTAGGCTCTTGTTTCTACTCTTTGGTTCCTTTCCTCTTCTTTGCTTAGTCGATTGAAGCCCACCTCACGGCGTTTGTGTCCCCATGGCAGTCGAAAAATATAAAACGAACTGGGCTGTTATCCTTGCTCCGTATTTCATATTCACTTCTTCGATTTTGTGGACAAAAGGGGGAACAAACCGAGTCCTTGTCTTCAAGCTTCCTACACCCGTTACGTGTAAAGTTTGCTCGGCCCCGATATATAAGGTTGCAAATACCATATGTATTTCGTAGAATGTCGTTACCTTCCAATACTTATTGCTCAACAACATATAATAAAAATAGCTTATTTCCTTGCCACTTATGTGCCTAAACTATTTATTTCTCTTGTAAATTAGCAACCTTGATAATCCTATAGGTAAAACACGCATTCTTGTTGGGAAATTCATGTCCAGTCATGCTGATGTTGATAACAAAATTTCCAAAGGAGTTAAACAAAAATTGTGATACCTATTTGATAAGATTATACTTATGTTTCGAGGCTGGCATATGGAAAACTGACTAGACAACACATTACCCTATTCACTTAACTTCGGTCGTGCATAGGAAAGAAAATAAGTTGGAATATCACGAACGAATGTAAGCATACCTCATTACGCTCATTATGTAAATACCCCTGTACCGTACGTAATAACCTCTACATTAGACATGTTTAGTTGACGTTGCACGAGAGCATGAAACATAAGCAATACATTTGGTTTAACCCCACTAGAAATCAACTTCTTGGAAACTCGGGAAATATGTCATTATTTGCAAATGTTCCTCTTCAGAAATTTAAGAATGGTTATAAAGAATATTTCGACAAAATAATCTTCATTCAGCTATTCCGCATATTCTCGTCAGCCATTTACATACACTTAGTGGAATAACTAGGCTGCATAAAGAGACATTCAAGGTGTAACGTCATTGGTGAATCGAAAACGCTCAATACAGATTATCCTGTCAAAATATTGTTCTTTCTTGCCACTTTTAAACATGCCATCATTTATTTAGTTAGTTAGTTATTACACCCTTCGGTGGCTGTGTCTGGTGTATAAGTAATGAGTACGCGACACTTAGCTGGTTTGGTGTGGCAACGTATCTTATTCAAAAGAATCAGCCCTTGCTGTTGGCTAGCTCTTACGATTCTATTGCATTGTCCTGCTCCTGTTTCCAACACTACATGCTGAATGTGAAATGTGTGCTGGAAAGTTCACAAATACATTAACCGGTCGTTTACCAAGTTTTCTGAAATGATGACTTCCCGATCGGTTCCAAATATGTTCCAAGATATTGAAGATTGAAAATCATTTAGCTTGTATTGGTAGATGTAAAATTGTAACTTTAAATTTCAACAAAGCAACCAACTCAGGCACAAAACTAGTAATTGGTCGACAGACCAATTGGCATGTTGCGGAATTATAATGAACTCACCAAAACGCCAGCGGGTAATTGCTGAGTGGTCCAGGTTGCTACGGCTGTGAGCTTGCGCACCTGATCCGATAATTTAGTGACTTGACACGAACGGGTGTGACAACACCCAGCTCGTTTATCGGTGACGCAATAAGCCACCCTCCGTGACGGAACGCAGCTCTCGGAACCGAGAGCACCTCCCAGCAGCAATAGCAGAGCACATTTGGTCACACGTTCAAGGTATTCAAGCCACCCGATTGGCCGGTGTGAATGTTGTTACGTTGGCTCGTTCGCAGTTGGTCGGGGTCAGTCAGTTAGGTAAACGGCGCGACCAAAACACGTGTGGCAGTGGACGACGGTGGCGCAGATCGGACTACGCATTCACTATTTATTTACATACTCGAAAGCCAGAATTTCTATAGCAGGTTTCGTTGAACCATGAAGAAACAAAAAGAGAACCTCATGCGCATGGAAAAGGTGGAGAACCCGGTGGATGTGTGTGATTTGTTATTGGGCTATGTGCACAATTTCCCGTTACCCAAGGAAGTCCGAGCCAGAGTGAATTTGGATGATCTAAAACACTCCGACCTGGATACTAATCACTTAAGGCTTGTGAACAAGCCAACATGTTACTTTGGGGATCAGACATCAGATTCGACATTACCAAATGGCGTCCTTGATGTGACATTAGACCAGAAACGGAAGAAAGATGTGAAAAGCAACATACTCTTCTCATCCGTGTTCACCAACAATACTACTGAGGTGCAAACCAATCATCTGCGCACCGAACGTCGTACCGCTTCCTCGTGTCGAATCAGTCTGACGAAGGCTGTGACCAAGGAGGGGAGTTTCAGTCTGCAAATTTCACCTCCATGCGCCATGATTCAAGCTAACGGAGGTTTCCGCCGCGAGGTTCAAATGGCACGGGAGCGCGAAAAGGTATTTGAAGAAGAATTGGTATGGTCGTTAGACACCGAGGTGAGTCACCTAACTGATACCTCATCGACTAATTTGATCATGCGAGTTTCGGTGACGTTTACTTGTAAGTAATTTTAATGCGCTTAGGTTGATGATGCTAAACCCGATGTAACTAATCAGGAGACTGGCAGTGGCATAATACTGATTAGTCGTTTCAATGAGTACAGTAAGTTAAGCTAACTGCAGGCACTAACTGGCTCCTGGTTAGCCGAGACGTGAAAATGTGGTGGCGGAAACCCTCAACCATCCAACCGTGCCAGTACAAAACTCCAAGACGCCCAATGCTGACTGGTGAAGCGGTTGCACTTTTAATCACTTCACACAACTGGAGGTTATTGAGAATTTCTGGCCACCACCAATATATTTGTTCTAAAGAAATTGAGTTCCATGAGCCTAATGCCTGGCTAATCGAACTTCATTCAGGTCAATTCCAAGGGATAATTATGTCATGCTTGAAATCTCTAACTGCTTTGCTTACGTTCCTCTTAGCTTCCATTGTCAGAAGAGTGACATTGATTTGTGACGGGTAAAAAGGCAATTTTGTTTCGGAAGTACCGCAGAATGATCGGAATGCAGATTCTCAAAGCAAAGATAAAAATGGTGTGAAAATGGGAGCAACTCGTGTTTTAAGTGACACAACAAGCTAATCACATGAACACTGAGGAACAATGAACAATGATTTATCAAGGGATAGAAGAAAGTGCTGGACAGGTACCTTGGGATGTTTGGGTTGAATACAACTGAATCAAAATATATGTAAGTCATCTACCGAGCGTCTACCGAAATAAATGTGTTGACAGATAAAGTTCGTGTAGAATAAAATTCCAGTGCAAGCACACAGAAATACACGGGGTGAGGTGATGGTTGACATAACACGCGAGCAAAGTAAAACATGGTCACTGAATTACGCGCCGCCTCGTTGGGTTCATGTGACACATAAATCCGGTAGAAGGACATGATTGACGTAATCCACAATAGCGTAGTTTAGGTAAAGAAGTGCTGGGAGCTAAGAGCAACATCCAAGCATTGTTTGAAAATGTCCAAAGTAGGGGAGGATACAACCGAATCTGGAAGACCGTTCCAGGGTTGGCAGACCCGAAGGGAAAGGTAATTCCATCGACACTCTAGATGGATACATTATTCACTCAAGTTCAAACTGTTACCTCTGGGCTGCATGTTGTGGCTGTTTCATCAAATGGCGGCATACGTGATTGGGATCACAATATTTGATACCCAATTATGAATTCGCCGCGCAGCCTTCGGTAGCGTCCGCTGTAAACTCCCAGCAACTTCAGCCTTCGGTGGTAATAATGATTACGTTGGCCCTTTACATTCTTTGTTCCGCTTCGTTGTGTTGTCTCAAATGCCTCTAGATCACGCTTCAAACAAGTTTGCCAAGCTCGGATAACGCATTCAACTTGAAGGCGCACGTAGGAATTTTGCATGGAAAGGAAGATTTATGAGTCAAAGCTCCCGAAAGCCATTCGCAGCAGTGTTGGTTGCTGCTGTTCGCAGGTACCACAGGGTTCCTCACGGCTGTGTTTTGGCGAGGACTGGTGTGCTTCGCACCATTTCGCCGCCTTAATGAAACGGACTACATTACGTTATGTAAACGAGGTATTTTATTGTCAATGCGCTTTTTTCAAAGTGTTAGTGTTGGGGCACAATGAAGTGAATTGGAAGAGCGTTCCATGTTCGTGACACCCGAAGGGAGAAACATTTTCGCCGGTAATCACGTCGACAGCAGTGTGTGACAAATTTGGTTTCTTTGCTCTTCAGGTTAGTATTACGGTTGAGTTGCACAGACCAGGGCGGCGTGATTTTGGTTCGAAAGTATCAGCTAAACTATGATGGGTTCTTCCCACTGAAGCCAATGTTCACCTATGTACAATCCCAAGGCTTGCAGTCTGTTGACGGAACTGGTGAAACAAGACCCTAATGAGTTTGAGCACTCTACGTTTTGGAGCTTCAAGCGCATTAGCACCTTGTTTGCGCCAGGGACAGTGGACTTGAATCGCGTACTCCGCAAAGTGCTTCAATCACTCGGCATTGTTGGAAAGATAGAAGGCTCGAACTTTCAGTAAACTCAGCATAATAGTCCAATATTCTGACTGGCCCTTCTGGATGCCTAACCGGCTTTTTTCGAACTGCCCAGGTCATCCTGCACAAGTATTCTTTCCACATAATTCTCTCAGCAAAGTTCGCCTATCAGCGCACGTAATAGGACAGAGACTTCGGTATTACAAGTCAAAAGGATTTGGGGATATAAGTCGTGTGGATTGTAGTCTTTCGTCTCACGCACACTTTTAGACATCGGTTTCCCTTATTAGAAGTGGTCAGTGATAACAGAAACTACTTTCACAGTTCGAACTACCTTGTCAACCCGATCAGTTATGGGTGTTTGCTCAAAACTACCCACTTGCTTTTCAACTGGTGAAACAGGTATAGACGATACCTGAATACTAACCAATGAATATTAAAGGTCGTGAGCTAGATGCATAACTGCGTCAATCCATCGATATACCATCAGACACGCACTCAGAATAATGCCATTCATTACCGCGCATGATGAACGCGGTTTGTCTAAGCCATCTTCTATTCAGGTGCGATGCACTTTTGAAAGCTGTATTTCGCGAACTGCACGCCTAGTAATTGCTTGAATTCCGATATCGACTTCGCGTCGACTATTTTCTCTGGCAAACTGTTCCAGTATCTAACCGCTCGATGCTCCAAGCATAGTAGGTGTTCTGTCCGCTTTGGTTCCGGTACCACAAGTTTATACCGGTGCCCGCGAATACTGCTTGGTGCACGTACGTACAACAGCAGTCTCAAAATGGAGAAGTGACCCAGTTGCAATATCCGGTGCATCATCATGAGGTCCACTCGAAACCGACGATGCGATAGCCCAGTCGTGTGCGTCGATCTCCGCACGACTTAAACCGCAAATAGGGGATGAGTCTGGTAGCCACATTGTGAACCTGTCCTAGTGTCTGCACCTCACCACGGTTGCACGGACAATACACCGGTGGTCAGTACTCCAGCATCGGTCCTATGATGGAAGAGAAGAGACACGTGGCAAACTCTTCAGACCAAATGCAGAAGTTACATTTGAGCGCACGAAGAATGTTTTCTTCAACATTGCGAAATACAGCCAGCAATAGTAAGGCTGATCACAAAAGGGCATGTAATTGTAATGGCAGGTCGGAGGGAAGTAGACATAATAAGTGCAAACATCCGAATAATCAGAACGGTTCAATTCATTTGGCAATTTAGTGGAACTTTCAAATCAGGTATATCCAAATTTTAAACTGATTGATTAGGGGCGGTCTATGAGCTTCTGTTTGCAAATGGAACAATGGAACCATGGTTTATTACGGGTAAAAAATCATTGCTTAACAAGTCCCGTGGGATGGAAATTATTGCGAAAACTAACTTATATGACAAAAGGTGTTTTGGTGGACTCACCATAGACTTATATGGAACAGCCGAGATGTCCGCGAAGTAAATCTATAAATCCATAAATCTAATGGTGGGGAGTTTGGCAAGACACCGTTTGATTGCGTTTTGTAACCCCTGGTTAACAAGTCATAAAATGAAATCTAAATGAGACTACGCATCTTCAAACCCTATTTAAATATCACCAGTGGGAGCAGAGACAACATAAGTAGGGAGGTCGTTCCAAGGCTGGCACACGCGGAGAAAAAAATTCCTACGGCATTTAAGCCGGCTATACTGAATTGCCAGTTTCAGAGGGTGACCTCTTAGGTTAGTGTTTTGGTACAATTCCAACAGCGGACGGCGAATGTGGTTTGGGATCTTCAGAATCTGGTAAACCATTATGAGATCCCTCCGCAAAAGCCGATATCGACTGCTGTACATTCTTAGAGATTTCAGTCTAAGCTGATAAGGCAGATGAAAGATGCCCCTGACGTTCTTCGTTGCCCTTCGTTGAGGAGTCTCGAGAACAACAAGATCCTGTAGCTGCCACGGCTGCCCCGCCTGAATAGCATATTTCACGTGCGGTCTCAAGTAGGCGTTAAGCATTTGAGGAAAGATTGAGGGTTCAAACCGACCGAAGGCTCTGCGAAGAAGGCCGAAGTGTTGATTGCCGGTTCTCATCGTATTCTCTGCTTGCTTCGAACATCCGAGATCTGCCTGTACCAATACACCCAGGTCATGCTCACGAGGGACCTCATCCAAGATATTGTCTCCAAGCTTGTAAGAGCTCACCTGCTGGTGACACGGATGTATCACCTTACACTTGGCTATGTTCATTTGAAGCAGCTTCCTCATTGACTATTTATAAATGTAACCTAGGTTACGTCGGAGTGTATCGTGATTTTCACCGTTACTAATCACCCGCCATTTCTTGTCGTAATCGGCGAAAAGCGTGAAATTTGAGGAGATAACTGATGCCAGGTAGTTGATAAACACCAGAAATAAGCGCGGTCTAAGCACTGAGCCTTGTGGGACACCACATTCCGCCTCAATCGGGTTAGCGAGTGATCACCTAACGCGTACATGAAGCTTCCGTTGGCGAAGGAAGCTGCCAATCCAATCAAGTACAGGATCTCCGATTCCGTAGCTCTGTAGCCGTTGAAGTGGGGTGCGGTGATCAAGACGGTCGAAAGCTTTGGAGAAGTCCAGACGTCAACTCCGAACTAATCATCAGCCAATTCCGTCCAATTACCTCGTGCAATCAGTAGGTTGGTGGTGCTTGACCAGTGTTGACGGAAGCCATGCTGCTCCGGTGCCAAGATGTTGCATTTTTTCAGGTCGTCCTTTAAAGCCTCAACGAGGATCGCTTCCATCACTTTCGCGAGCACAGGGAGGAGAGTCACTGGGCGATAGTTTGCAGGATCTGAAAGGCTATCACCTTTAAACATTGGGGTGATAATGCCACGCCTCCACATAGTGGGGACTTGTCGTTCAGCAAAGCACTTTTGGAAGAACTGTGATAATGGTTCAACTAGCTTGTTGGCCACAGCCTTCAGTGCCTT